CTCTCTCTCTCTCTCTCTCTCTCTCTCTCTCTCTCTCTCTCTCTCTCTCTCTCTCTCTCTCTCTCTCCTCTCTCTCTCTCTCTCTCTCTCTCTCTTCCCGCGGGTGTGAAACCACAGTGAGGTGGTTTTGGTGCTTAATCCTCCGACCAGCCATCTACTTAACGAACCGTCCATCGACCGCCGTCATTTTGCCGTTTCTCGGTTTCCCTTCCATCTATCCGCCGCCCCTGCTCTTTCACCATTTCGATCTCCCGTCTCGTTCCCCCCTCAGCGTTACCGCTATCCGGTGGTTCGATCGACCTCATCTTCTCGCTACCGACACTTAAGATCGCTCTCGGAGATTTCTTCTCCACGCCGGGAGGAAAGAGAGCTCGAACCCAGTCGTGACTGTCGCCGACCTTGATACTCGCAGGCTGCATAAAAATTGCACTCCATCATTAACGCTGCGATTTAAAAAACTAGACAACTTTCCTCGTTTCGAATCACCAAGCTCCAGTTAATCGATAATCATTTAGTTTTAGCGTACATATGACGCACACGCATCTCGCCGAATTAATTGAAGAACAACGAAATTATTATACTTGAGAATATGTAAATTTAGCGTGAGGAAACATACTTCGTATGTTTTCCTTATTAGCTAGATATAGAAACGTTTCCTGCAAGTGAAACTTTTCCTCAAAGTGACTTGAGATGAGAGGTAGCGCGCGCGCGCGCGCGCGAGAGAGAGAGAGAGAGAGAGAGAGAGAGGTGGAAGAAAAGGAAAGAAGCGCGACGTCGCGAGTTCGACGCGCTTTCAGCTCGATCGCTGGTTCCACCTGGTCGATCTCGTCCTCCGGCGGCGATCGACGTGGCGTGCACAGGATTCAGAATCTCGAGCGAGCCGAGAGCCGAGAGATCATCTCAACCGTTGAGAAGAACTCAAGAAGCTCGTGGGGCTTCGGTTCCCACCGAGATAGATGCTCGCTCGGTCGTGTAATGTAAGTCGATATTGCCGCGTCGTCTCGATATAACGACGGGACCCCCGATGTCTATACGGGTCCGATCGATATATCGGTCGATATGTCGGGCTCATCAAAAACCGGGCGATATAACGTAAAAGGCGAACGAGAGAACGCGAGAGAAGTCTTATGCATACTCAGGAAACTGCCGCGTATCGCTTACCATCGACGATTTCTTCTTATACCCGAGTATCCTGTCTCGAGGATAATGTTTCTTCTCGGGGACGACGGAGATTTCAGCAAGACCCCCGATCTTACGTTTGATCGAGGAAGAACGCTCGAAGAGCGAAACACGTGGATAAGAAGACGAGAAATTTTATTTATTTATAAATAAAGATTGAAAATAATTTGGAAATAATAAAATATATTTATAGATGAAATTTATTATTTTTTTATTTGTAAATAAGAAATCTTCCTAAATAAATTCTCAATCGGTCAAGAGTCGCGTGACCAGACAACCGTGAGCAATTTTATTACAATATCTGCTTCGTTGTACTGCTTTGTAAAGGAAGGACGCGTGGAATTTTTTTTTTGTTGCGTATCACAAATACGAGAGAAATGCAGCATGAGAATTTGTATCTTGCTCAATGGCTCAATTAAATCGGAATAGTGTAAAAAAAAAAGGCGGCGTACAAAGCGTCGAAAGTTCCCTTTCCCATCTCGGAGCTATTCGATCGCGCGCTATTCCCTCAGATCGGCGCTCTTGCGGGAATCAGTAACCCAGAGTCGGTTCAATTCGCCAAGAGAACCAAGAGATCCGACAATGCCGTTGCTTCGCGCGCTGCTC